CTTATGCTCCCAGTACTTCTGTTAGTCTCAAAGGTGCCACAGGACCCTCTGTTGCTTTTTACGATCTTCAAACTGCAAGACTTCTTTTTGTTTTTTATTGTCTTGTCCTATGATCCTTATTTTTCTGTTGGTATAATTTCTATGGACGTAAAAAACATGATTCGGTGGCACAGGCTTCCATTTACAATTAGAAGTTTGAATTTATATTCAGACTATTTCACACCTTCAAATATGTATCCTTATGGGAGTTTTGCCATTGACTTCACTAAGGCCAGGATTTCACCCTTTGTTTATACCATTGTTCCTGTCGCTTTTCTCCTCTTGAAATAATATGACATAAAATAGAATTTGGCATTCTTTGAGCCTGGGAACACTTAAAACACATGCACTGAAAGTCAAATTTAAAACTTTGCTTCAAATTATCAATTGAATCTCAGACTTCAGTGGAGTTTTGTAAATATGAAAAATAATGTATGTTAAGATGACTGATTTTTTTTTAATTTAGCTTTCATTTATGTACTTGAAAAAAGTGCAGAGAAGTAAAAGTGCACTTCAGCTGTTTCAGTAGCCATGTTATTTCCAGCTTTTGGATTGTACCTTTATTCAAACATAAGTATCCAATCATTTGCAATTGTCTAGTGATATATTTTACAAAAATTAAACACTTAATGGTGTGCTTCCTCTTCTCACTTCATTGATAACTATTTGCCTTGTTGGTTTGGTAAGAAGTTTTATCTCTATTTAGGCATTTCTTATGCACCAACCATAGTAATATTAATTTTTCTGCATATGTGTATGTCTGTAAACATTTGTAGGGCTCTCCTCACCATAGTATTGTAGGACATGTTAACTCTCAGTGCGAAGCTCGGATTTCCAAAGTTGTTTTTAAAGTTTAAAAAAGTCTGTCAGGCTTGCCAAATTTAGTATTCATTATCTTCACTCTTGATGTTAGCAAGTTTGTGAGAGGCTACTGACATTTCCAGTTCAGGATTAGGACTATCAGAATTCAATTAGAGGGCTGTTTGTTTATCTTTCTTGTTTCTCCACATCCTGGGTTGCTCTGAGGGATCAAGTTATTTTTGTTGTTGTTGTTTTTTTTAAAAGGACATTATAAAAACCTAAGCACTAGATTTTACTCTTTCTAGTCTTGCTGCTATTAAGCTACCTTTAATACCTTTCGGTTAACTACCAGTGTCCTGGGAAAACTTGTAAACGTAGTTTCCAAAAGAATATGTAAAATGCTTTTTAATTAAATGCCTTCATGGAAGGATTGCCCTGTGCGTATTTGTAAATAATGTTTAATGCTCATGGGCTGCCAGTGGGTGTTGAGCACCCACTATATTTTTTCCGTGGGTGCTCCAGACCTGGCGTGTCCACTGAGTCAGCACCTATGGTTGAAGGTTAATTGGATTGCGGTAAAATTTGGTGAGTTTGCTTTGCAAGATGCTCCATTGGCTCAGCATGTATGATTACCTGCCATGTGGACAGGTGGTGCATGGGTGCATTTGGTGCAAGGAGCTCATAGCCTCAGAGACCTATGGAGACTGGGAGTGGCTGGCTCACTACAAAAGCAATTTTCCGTCTCTTGGTATTGACACCTCCTCATCCATTATTGGGTGTGGACCACATCCACCCTGACTGAATTGGCCTTCAACATTGGTTCTCCACTTGTAAGGTAACTCCCTTCTCTTCATGTATATATATTTATACCTGTATCTGTAATTTTCACTCCATGCATCTGAAGTGGGTTTTTTACCCACAAAAGCTTATGCCCAAATACATCTGTTAGTCTTTAAGGTGCCACCGGACTCCGCGTTGTTTTTGTGGATACAGATTAACACAGCCACTTCTCTGATACTTGGTATGAAATGAGGATATTGATATAATAGGCATCACAGAAACCTAGTGAAATGATTAATCAATTGGGACACCGATATCAGGCACAAAATATATCAGAATGACAGACCAGGTCATGCATATGGGGGAGTGGCACTATATGTGAAAGAAAGCATAGAGTCAAATTTAGTAAAAATCTTAAAATGAATTAAACATGACTGTAGACTCTGTGCATAGAAATTGCATGCTTGAATAATAAGAATATAGCAATAGGAATATAGTATCGACCACCTGACCAGGATGGTGATGATGACTGTGAAATGCTTAGGCAGATTAGAGAGGCTTTAAAAATAGAAAACAATATAATAATGGAGGATTTCAAATATCCCCATATTGACTAAATACATGTCACTTCAGGACAGGATGCAGAGATAAAATTTCTAGACACCATTAATGGCTGCTTCTTGGAGTGTGTAGGTCTGGAACACACAAGAGGAGAGGCAATTCTTGATTTAGTCCTAAATGGAGCACGGGATCTGGTCCAATAGGTGAATATAGCTGAACCACTCAGTAATAAGTGACTGCAATATAAATAAATGGAACATCTTTGTGGTGGGGAAAGCCCACCATGGCAGCATTTCACTTCAGAAAGGGAAACTACACAAAAAGGAGGAAGCTGGTTAAATGGAAATGTCACAAGAGTGAACTGTCTGCTAGCTGCATGGAAACTTTTTAAAAACACCATTTTAATGTTCTTATGTATGTTATGTTGTTCTAGTGTGTGTATTTAATAATTACCTGTTAAATACTGCCAAATAGATTCATAGATTCTAGGACTGGAAGG